TGTATATAAAACACAAATAGTTCTTATATGCTTTTCTTTTTTACCATTGGAAAAAGTATGATTCATGGCAGTATGTGCATTAGTACTCCGTAATGATTGCTGATTTGTGTCCCGCTTTGGAACTGTTCCTTCTTACTGACTAATAAGTGCCACTAGACCTCTGGCAGTTCATAAAAACATTATATACTTCTAGTCTTTACAGAAACTTGTTTACCTCTTCTGTCTTTACCTGTATGAATCAGACACTGTGTCATCTCTTTGTGCTTAAAAACTTTCCTATTAATCTTACAAGTTGCCTGGTCTTGCAAAAGCCTGACCCACTACATTGTTTCACTCACCTATGAACTTTCCTTATTGCAGAATGAATTTTTTTTTCAAGAATAAATGTATGTATTTGCCATTCCCAATCATTCTGTGAAACTGTAGCTTTTTTCTCTAATGCAGAGCTTCAAACCCAATTGATAGATCTCCTCAAAATTCCTCTCAAGCTGTAACATCTCATTGGCCTCTCTCAAGTTCCTCAGGAGGTTCCTGAGCAAAAGGTTTGATGCTGCCTGGAGATTGTCCAGCCAGACTCACAAGGGTCGCTGCCAGGGACGTTTGGGCTGCCCAGGAAAGGAATTTTACCTAGGATCGGTGCACCGGTTCTGCATATCTCACAGCTTTAGGTCGGGCCTATAGTTCCTTTACTGAATTTTAATCTAACTTCTGAGAAGTGCAGCACACCGCATTCAAAGCAAAATGAGAACTTCCCTCCAAGTGACTAAAATCACACTTACGAGGTCTCTGTAGTGAGGGAAGAGAAAGGAAAAATATGTGATCAATTTGTGGGTCAGCAGGTGGTGACAGTGTGGAGTTATTAGATAATGCATATTCACCAAGTGTGCATATTCACTGTGCCAGAGGAATAAACACATTTTCATTGTTATTTAGGATTAAAAATAGGAGGATAATAGAAGTAAAACTGCTTATTGAAGCAGTATGAACCTGACTTAACAAAAACAAATCTTTCAGTCACCTTTACCAATTGATTGGCAAATTTTTTAATGCTGTATTTTTCATTTAGAAAAAACACGCTGTAAGATATGCTGAGATGCAAAACCAATATTAATGCACAAAATAAATTCAGCTTCATGACTATATTCAGAAGCTGTAAAAATGCAGTAGATTTATAAATGCAGAAGCCTACAGAAAATTTCTCCTGTCCTCTTGCAAGCATCAGAATCTCCTGGTTGAAAAGTAAACATTAGCTAACAGACGTTCAAACTAAAGCAATAACTATTTGTGCAAGTTATTATTTCCTATTTGCAAGATCTGACTTGTTGTCTACTTAAGCAGTTACAATACAGTTTTGAGGCTATCTTCTGCTTCTTTTCCTTGAAGAACAATGCAGAAGTATTCAGAAAATTTTCCCCTCTGGTGTAGGTGAAGTTCAGTTCACAAGACCATGTGTACACATAAAACTTCCACATTCATCAGTTCGGGAAAACAGACTACCCTTTTGGGCACTTAAACTCAGAAAGCCAGGATCAAGAAATTTTGAGCAGAAGTCTGAGTGCAAATCCTTCTCCCACATCTCCTTTGCTTTTGTGAAAAGATGGACTTTCCAGTGGGCATTTTGCAGGCAATTCTGCCGGTTGGAATAACAGGGGAAAATAGTAGCAATATTTGAAAATCTGTCACCTAGGGTTCCCAAAAAGGCCATCTCTGCAGGTTTTATTGCCAACACCAAATAATACACTTCATAAAAGAGGGAAGAGAGATTGCATGTGTACACATGCCCACAGTGTCTCCTGTCTTCCCTCACTCAAACTTACTTCTCTACCCTGTCTCCCATGTGAAGCTAGCTGGTACTTGCATGTATGCAAGTAGGAAGGACTTAAGCCCCAGGTCATCCTGATCAGGATGTTGTTAGCATGTATAACAGAAAAAGGATTAGAAATGATCTGAGCTACAGAGGAGGGCTTCTCTTTTCTTTTCTTTTCTTTTCTTTTCTTTTCTTTTCTTTTCTTTTCTTTTCTTTTCTTTTCTTTTCTTTTCTTTTCTTTTCTTTTCTTTTCTTTTCTTTTCTTTTCTTTTCTTTTCTTTTCTTTTCTTTTCTTTTCTTTTCTTTTCTTTTCTTTTCTTTTCTTTTCTTTTCTTTTCTTTTCTTTTCTTTTCTTTTCTTTTCTTTTCTTTTCTTTTCTTTTCTTTTCTTTTCTTTTCTTTTCTTTTCTTTTCTTTTCTTTTCTTTTCTTTTCTTTTCTTTTCTTTTCTTTTCTTTTCTTTTCTTTTCTTTTCTTTTCTTTTCTTTTCTTTTCTTTTCTTTTCTTTTCTTTTCTTTTCTTTTCTTTTCTTTTCTTTTCTTTTCTTTTCTTTTCTTTTCTTTTCTTTTCTTTTCTTTTCTTTTCTTTTCTTTTCTTTTCTTTTCTTTTCTTTTCTTTTCTTTTCTTTTCTTTTCTTTTCTTTTCTTTTCTTTTCTTTTCTTTTCTTTTCTTTTCTTTTCTTTTCTTTTCTTTTCTTTTCTTTTCTTTTCTTTTCTTTTCTTTTCTTTTCTTTTCTTTTCTTTTCTTTTCTTTTCTTTTCTTTTCTTTTCTTTTCTTTTCTTTTCTTTTCTTTTCTTTTCTTTTCTTTTCTTTTCTTTTCTTTTCTTTTCTTTTCTTTTCTTTTCTTTTCTTTTCTTTTCTTTTCTTTTCTTTTCTTTTCTTTTCTTTTCTTTTCTTTTCTTTTCTTTTCTTTTCTTTTCTTTCTCTTCTCTTCTCTTCTCTTCTCTTCTCTTCTCTTCTCTTCTCTCCTCTCCTCTCCTCTCCTTCTCTTTTAGAAGAAGACACAGGGGCACCCTTTTGCGAAGTGTTATCTGCTTAATTCCAGCTAATCTATCTTCCTGAACCTTTTGGTGAGTTTGAAGTATCCAGCGTTAATGCACAGCCAGTGGGGGAGGAAGAAAAGGTGGTTCTGGTGCGACACCAGCATCTTCAGTGATTACGGGTCCAAGAAACTCACGTTCAGTGCAAGTAACTGATGGGAGACTCTTTCTTTTAAGCAGTGCTGAATCACCCTCAGAAACCTACGCTCTACTTATTAGGCAAAGAAGAATACAATCACATGCCCCTCTACCATGTAAATAAGTGCACCACACGTGCACAGGTCTTTCACAGGCTCTGTGAATTTCCCAGCTATGAGCGGAAAAGGAGATGCCAAAATCACCACATTAAGGTTTCCGTGAGGTACCAAATACCCCATGAAAAGCTTGCTTGCCTGTTCAAATAATTCAAAACTAGATCAATGCATCAAAACACTGCTTTTAATACACACTAGCCTACCCGTTTAATCAGTAGCATTTGGATAATTCAGATTCTGTCAAATCTGCGTATTGCCCTGGACACTCTCCTCCCCCAGCCCTGGGCTCATCGGTGGGGACCCAACTGCCCCCTCAGCTTGCACAGAAAGAAAATGATTCCTGTTTTCACGTGCTAAACACATGCACATGCTCAAAAACGTATGTGGTCTTACCTCCACATTGCTACTAAGGATTGCCACTCCAACATAGTCTCTTTTGCTCTTTAACTGTATTTTATTTCAACAGGTGCCTTTTCAGCGGAGCAGCAATTCAGCTAGCACTCACCTCCCATCATGGCACACGTCTGCAGACCTGCAGCTGCTTATGCCAAGCCACATTTGTCCTACTTACTGTATATTCAGATTGCATTTCTGGTAGGACTTACTACTGAAGAAACGGGTCAAGCACGCAGGAATTTTTGACAAAGACTTCTTTAAAACAGCCCTATCAATCTATTGTGTACTGTATTTCACTCACACATTATGAAATAAGACTAGGGAAAATGTTCATCTGTGAAAAATTCCCCAAAGAGAGGCACGTCAAGACCACTAGTCTTTCCATATTGTTATGAATGAAACTCAAAGTTTCAAGTATCAACCCCCAAAAGAAATCACTAGGGATTTCCACTGATTTCCACCCCCTCTCAATTTTAAAGTAACTGCATTAAAAGTATGTGTATTTATACATTAAGGCATAATGCACACACAGAGAGAGAACAGCGACTGCTGCTCCTGATGCAGTGAATGACCAAAAAATTGGCTGTGGTTCAGAGAATACTCCATGTTTTGGAGACTGTCATGACAGGCAAGGATTAGATTTTACATGAGTGGTGATGAGGATACGTCTACTGACATGTGGGGGCTGTGTGTTTTCTTGCCAACGGGGCTGAGCCACGTAATTCATCCTTCTCACTGAGAAAGGAGCACATCAGCTACAGAGACTCCCTGTTTACACAGGGAGGACTACACAGTGCACAAATGGAGCGCAGCTATATATTGAATCCAGCATGACAGATTATTAAGGCTGCTTTTCTCCCTGTTAATTATTTAGAATTTCTTACCTTTTGCAGCTGGGACTGGCATCGCTACAGAGCAACTGTGCTAGCTTGTTAGTAAGCACACATAGCAGAAAAAAAACCCCTGCAGATGTATAAATGTACAGTTTTGAGATATTTTAAATGCATATTTTGTTTCAAGAGTCATCATCGCTTCTTAATTAGTCATTACTGCTGGGTTATAAGCAGTCCTGTATAGGACATGTTTCCTTAGTTTTTCTATAATCACTCCAAAATATTATTTTTTTTTAAATTTCTACTTTTCATATCTTGAGAATGTATTCTTGTGGGACACAGGGCACCCAGATAAGTATGGGAGGGGCTGCAGCATCAAATATCCCAACAGAAGTTGGTTATCACCAGTCAATAAATACAGGTTTATGGTGAATGGTTACTTTTAAATACTTTATCTACAGAATAGTAAAAATATGAAAGGTGAAATGTTTCTATTCTGCATTATATTTGGTACATTGCTTTACCATTAATATTTTTAAAGAGTTTATTTAAAGAAAGTTACTGGCAGTATGTTGTTTTTGTAGAGTGTAGCTTGTGTGGACTGGACATATTTTTATTTTAAATCAGTGTATTTTTTTAACTGATCAGCACTGACCAGTTTTCTACTTACAGATGTGGTGCAATACTTAATTAAGCTGGCAAGCACATAAAAAGCCCTGGTAAGTTGTTTCAACTTCTGTCAGAGTGACTGTATGACCGGGTGGGTTTATGTTTTGGAACCTTCCCCCGAGCCATGCAAACCATGATGGGACTTTTGGTCTGTGCAGCATATAGGTATGCTCATGAGCAATTTCTGTGCCTCCCCTGCCTTCTTTTTTAACCAGCTCAAATAAAATAAAACTGAACCTAGATGCTTATGCCAAACAATAAAAACTTGAGATTAGCAGGCTTTAAAAATGTTATCATCTGCCATTCCGGCCCAGCAATTTTGGATTTCCGGGTTTGAGTAAGATCACGAGTGATAAAACAGATACAATAAAAGAGAGTGTTCTCATGATATTTCCAGAATGGCCAGACAGTAAATCTCACTAGGCAAATAGATTTCCAGTGTAACTCTAATGTCTAGAGGTCTGAATAAACAGAAAAAATTTATTAGGATTCGCTCATCACTTGGGCTGAGTGTGACCCTGTGCTTGTGTTGCAAATGCAGGCATGGATTGTAAACGATCTTGTAATCTTCGGTTTTGAGTTTGTTGTTCAAACGAAATCAAAACCTGAAAATCAGAAACTTAGCTATTACCTTGTTTTGTTCTGGTTTCCACCCCAAGTAATGATTTAGCTCATGCTTGCTTGAACCTTAGCCTGTGCTTACCAAAAACTTGCTAAACCTAGCTCAAATGTGGGGTTCATCAGAAGCATCATGGTGGCAACCAGAGTCAGGATGCAGTGCCATGGTATTAAGCACTATAAACTAGCAATACCTATTCGAAGAATTTTAAAAGTACTGCTAAGCTTCTTTTATTAGAAATGGCACAAAGCTACAACAACAGGAGAATTCTGTTTGGGAAATACAGGAGACCTGAAATATTTTCTAAGACAGTGAGAGCATGTTTTGGGAAAATAGCTGCACGTGTGGAACACTTTCCTCCGGCTCTGGTAGCCAGGTTTTAAAAGGAGTGAGATTCATTTAATATACCCTGTGAAAGCATCAAAAAGGGAAGACTGACCTGTAACAACAAGGGCATGTCTGCACTGGAAACCAGCTGCAGATTTGGTGCATTAAAGGATCCACAGCAGCTGCTGTGCAGGCAGTACAGTAACACACCACGTATTCCCACCCTTATGGGAACAGTGCTTCTTGCACTAGGTCTTTGAGCGTCTCAACAGAGAAAGGGGTATTTCTCCATAATGCAGCAAAGTCTTGTTAATCACCATGGAAAATGTCCCCAGGTGGGGTTTTTGGGAGGATACTATTATCCCTAGAAGGCTGAATTGCTTTCTGCCATGAGAAACAGGTCTGCTATTTCTCCAGTCCTTTGGAGGAATCCCATTTAACCTTTGCCGTGGTGGCCTGAGGAGCTCTTTATTGGACTCTCAGGCAGAAGAAAGGAGGGAACGGTACCTTGGGCAGCTGCAGATTTCCCATGGAATGCATGTGTGGGAGCGTGAAAGGTTTGCCTTTGAGGTCTGAGTTGGAGGCCAATAAAGGCCTGCTACAGCAGCTGCTTCACAAAAGGAAAAAAGGCCAATTGGCAGGAAAAAGGGACTTTGGTGCATAAACTGACAGAGAATAGTGCCCTAAGAACTACTGCCATTGACTTAGGACCCAAGGTGCAGCAAGCATATAGCTTTATACGTATGCAACCCAAAATCAAAGACTGTCTAGTCTATGAGATTAACAGCCACCGGATCTAGCTGAGGCCACAGCACCGCTGGTCACAACACTGTTGGCCACAATAGAAATGGTTAGTAGAAGATGGTTGCTCTCTTGAGGGGAACCAACAAAGGAGATGAAAGATGCTGGAAAAAAACAAATGCCAGTGTTCTTGCTGCCCCCTCTTTACAACTGGAAAGCTGAGGCAGAGCAAGGTTAGTTTGATCCATGTTGCCTCCAGAATCTGCTGCAGACTTTAGAACCATGTCTGGTATCTACAGTCTGGGTCCAGGTCCTTTAATATAATCCCACCTCCCTGCTTCCTGCTTCATTAAAGTTGCTTGGTGGAAGTCTGAAAAACCATTGCCAAAACAGTTGCCTCACTATGTATTTTTTATTCATTCATATTTCACCCCTGATTTTTGCTAGAAACCACAGCTTCTCCAGCCTGGGGATTCCTTTTGACAGTGCAATAACAAAACACATTTCGCTCATCACTTTCTCCCAATGGGAATATCGTGTACCGCACTTGTATCTTCTGCGTGCTGGAAACACTCTGCTCGACATTCAGGACTCACAGCTCTAATGTGCGTTTCTTATCTGTGTCAGACTGGGTAGACGAGAGTATGAGGAAAGAGATGTAATCTTTTTTTTTTTCTTTTTTTTTCTCCCACCTTCTCTGCCTCCAGATCTCACCTCGCTGTTCTAACAGTCCATGTAATAGTAGAGGGAGAAAGAGAGGGAGACACTTAGGATGGCTGTTGTGCTAAAAATGAGGTGTCTCTAAAAGGAAGCCCTTCTCACCTTACAGTGTTTGCTAATTTTCTCCACTAACTGTAGTGATGCCACTGAGAAAAAATGTCAAAATGTATTAGAACAGCCACAGCCATCAGACTGTAAGGCAAGTTAACTGGGAGTAAGGATCCTGTTGAGTTCAACGAGTTTTTTGTGATTTCCAACGCACTATGAAAAAATGCCTTCAAATTACCCAAGAAGTATGTTAATAGCTGACTAATGCACAAGCTGGCAGGAATCATTGCTGCTTGAGCACGGCTCATTAATCTTACCTTTCATTAAAAAAATTCCAAACTTTTTAATAAACAATTTTTATTTAGGAAGTAAAGAACAGTGGAGTGCGTTTTTTGCTAGGCAAGTGAGCTCCCTATGAAAATAAAACATTTCTTTACATTTTTTGCATATAAAACCATCTTTCTTCCATCACTAGGTTTGGAAACTCACGGAGTACTTTCCACTTCTGTAAACTCTCAGGACTAATTTTTTAATCTTTCTTTTCACCTTTGCAGCTTGTCCTTCCTAAGCTGAAATCCTCTTGCCGCTGATACCCAGCCTGTTTCTGCACGAGGCAGGCGGTGTTTCTCTCTGGTGAGGGGCTGGGGGCTGCTGGGGAGCAGAAATGAGAGGAGAGAGCTTCTTGCCGACAGCTGGACAAGACGCTGCATGCTGGCCCGCAGCACTCAAGGTACCACTTCACATCAGTTCAGACCCAGTTGTGGTCCTGTTTCTGCACGAGAAGAGACCTCGGGGGCCTCCTGCTTCCCTGGCCTCCCGGGAAATGTTGCACTCCGGCTTTGTGAAACGGATATCTGGGACAATTTTTTATGCTGCAGCAATTGCCGTCATGTTCCGTTTTGCCTGTGGTTGTGGTCTGAAGTGCTGTAGTTGAATAGATAGCTCTGTCCAGCCTTATTCTTTGGGACCCCTTCATCTGTACAGCATGGTTTACTCAATGCAGTAGTGAAAATGAAAGATAAACTGCATTATCACTAGTAGTCACAGAAACATGACTGTTTTCGGCGATGTTTTGTCAATAAACACTAGGGCAGAACAACTTAACATCAGACGTTGCAAAGTCCTGATTGCACAGAACAGAGAGGTAGAAAAAACGGGAAAAAACACCTGATCAGTGTTATCACTGATATTTTACATTCACGCACATCTCAGTACAGACGTATGCAAACTTTTCTAGGTAAATGCTCCTGAAGGTTTCTACAATAATTTTATTTGCCTTTCAAAACAACCCAGGCTTCAGGATTTATTAATGCAGCAATTAGTATGCTGATCATGCCCAGCATGCTTAAATCTTTATTGGCTGTATGCACCACCGAAAGTTTTAGTTTTATTAAACCTGAGCCTTCTACATACTGCTGTTTAGTGTGTGTTACAAAACTAAGATCAGCTCTGAATGTAATGTAACCCACATGTTGGATTGCTTGCTCCAGTGACTTACAGAAATATTTCAGGTAGCAAGTATTTTCTTAGTACTCTGTTATAAAAATATGTCAAGCACACAATGTTTGCATTATATGTTCCTTTTCTGTTATAGAAAAAGAATTGTGCACCAAACCCTGTACTCCATCCTGTTCCTCACAGAACAGTCATTTTCACCAACTGTGTATCAAACTACTGTGAAGCACCATGTTTCAGTGAAGATTTTGAGGTGAGCTAGACAATAGGTTAAATTAGAGTACGGTTATCTTCATCATATGTAGATAGATAAATAAGTAGATAAAGTGCATACTATATCTGCAAAGCAAACTAGACATAGGTTGTAGGTTTTATTCACATGTAGGAAGGGACAAGTGCAGCTGAGATTTTTTTTCCCCATCAAGTGCCAGAGGCTGTAGGAAAACTGCCAGGCATGATGCTAGGCATATTGATCTTTGCAGAATCGCCTTTCTTTCATACCCTGAAGACAAAAATGTCAGCATGATGGAGCAGTCTCCTGAGACGCCCTGGTCCGAGTCCCTCAAGTCAACGCTGTCCTGCCCACTGACTTGCAAGCACCAACTGGACTTTTCCTACAAGCACAGTTCTTTCCCCACCACAGCATCCAGCTGCAATACTGGTGTTTACACCATCCATAGGAAAGAGAAGATCCAGGGCTGATATGATCTGTAAAAATAATTCTAACAGGTGACGCAGAGGCTTGGCCAGGTGGTTTATTCCTTTACACTATACAAAGAAGAGGCAATTTGCCAAGTTTGTTTCAGATTCAATCCGTGGCAATTTATACAATTAGTCCGACTAATGGAGCTAGTCTAAAGAGACTTCTAACAACACGTGAGTTGCCTCCTGTAATGTACAGTTTCATTTTGGTTCCAACAGATAGACTTTCAGACTTTAACTGCAGGTGACATCCCCAGCCATCAATCCCCTTTCCATCCCAGGTTATCATCTTCTGTAAAAGTGGAAGAGGAGATGGGTTTGCTGTTGTGCTTACGCTGTTGGCTGCCTGGCACACTGATCTGATACAACGTGTGGACGCTCTGCTACCTTCTGCCATCTCTGCTATGGCAAGAGTCTCCCACCTGGGTCTTGTCAACACTAACATCCAAGGGGCCCTGGCTTTTATGTTAAATTTCTGTGGCAGGATTTGCCAAAGTCTCTCTGTCAGAGCCCCCTTGAGTGCAGGATTTAGGACTGAGGGCAGATGGAGAGCTCTGCATTTGCAGAGCAAGAACAGCACAGGCAGTCCAGGATTCATCAAATTACACTGCCAAAAGGAACCTGAAGCCCAGCAGAGGAACCCTACTGCCCCACCACTCTGTAGCCGAAATTCTGCGTTTAAACATATTGCACTTATACTGTTATACTGAGATAGCTGGCAAAGATGTTGTCCAGGAGAAAAAAAAAATTAAAAAATAGATTACTCTTGGAGGTAGCCAACAAATTTCTGCTCCATCAGCTGAATGCATTTGAAAGTCAACACACTCAGGCTTTGTTGGAGCTAATTCCAGCACTCAGGATTTAACTGTGAATCCCCCTCCCTTACCCATAAATACACACATTTAAATGTGTTCATTTGAGTGTTTCAGGTCATCTCAAATTCCATGGCATCCACAGAAAAAAAGCCAGTCTAAAGTCAACAAAGCCCACAATGACGTTGTAAAAAGAGGTGCTATTGGGAATTAATTTCTGTTTTCTATGTTATATCCGCTGCTTTTTGCACAATTGCTAGCCCTGAAAACACAGGGCCCTTAAAGTTAAATTGGGTTTATCTTTGTTAACCATCATAAGCAGAAATAGAATTTTTCAGATTTAGTAGAGCTCTAGTCAGGCTAAACAGATTATGAAAAACTCTAAAAGAGTTAAATTTGATGTAAAACAAGTGTTTTGGGATTTAAGCATGGGTTCTTCTCAAAATTCACAATGATTGAAATCCAGATAGTAGCAGCAGACAACGTGAACGAAACCCCAGAACGGCTAAAACCAACGGTAACTTGGCTATCAACTGGAGCAGGATTTTACATGCTGTATCTGCTCCCGCTTCAACATCTTCCATCCAGCCTACTAGATTTATTTATTTCAGTCATATTTGTATTGAATCTGGGCCAGTTAGTCCACTTCTTTTTCTCTTATAAAGAACATGCACAACCTTTGCTACCACAGAATAAGTAATTCATAGGTCAGGACTACTTTCCCACCCTCCTTCCAACCTTCACACAGAGCAACAAGGCTCTGAATGGCTTGGTGGCTTTCCAAAAACTGCAGAGGGTGACTAAATGAACAAGAAGGTAAACCTAAGTTCCTCCAAAACATACGCTAGTGCCTGAAACCCCTTTCTTGCTGATCCAGTTCTTCATGGTGGCTGCACAGTGAATGCATGCCTCAGATAATGCAGGGATGATGCCTGGACCTGAGCTGGGTGGCACCCACTTAGAGGTGCGGTAACCAAGCCCGGGCATCCCAGGGATGGGGGCATGCAGCAGAGCCCGGCCTTGGAGCAGCCTACCTGAGGAGCTGAGCTAAAGCAATGAGACCAAAACAGGTGGGGAGGAGGAGGATTACAGCTGGATGTGACTGGTAGAGTTCAAAACACGAACCTCCACAATTGCATTGCTGTTACTGGTAGCATTTACTATGGGAGGACCAGGGGACCCACCGAAACGGACAGTGTCCCCAGTAGGGAGACACTGGCTGCTACAGTCCCTGTAGTAAAGGTTATGAGATTCTTCAGTTTGATGTTTTGGGGACTGTGACAACCACACGTGCATATTTACATGGAAAATAACCCTCTTCACTTTATCCCCCTGTATATTTAAGCAGCCCACTCACCACCAACAGTCTTGAACAACTTCCTCTCTACCTAGCCTTTCCTTCCCTCTCCACCTCCTCCCCTTAATACAAGGGAGTCCAGCTCCACCTGTGTACACAGTTGTATAATTTTTCCCAGGTTAAATATCCCAGAGTTTTACATCTGTTCCTGACATTCCCAGTACTGGGCACCGGCAGAGAGAATGCTGGGGCAGCTAACGATCATTCCCTCAGACACCTTATTAGATCTTTTTGAGTGTAATACTGAGAAGATACTTTCAAGCCTAGTACTGTGCTGCTTTTAATAGCTTGCCTCATACAGTCCAAACAAGTTTAATATTAAAATAAAATAATAATAATAAAAAAAAGAAGTGTAGACGTGTTGCCACAAAACCATCTGTTCAAACATTATCAGGAGGGGAAATCCTGCATTTTAAATAACACTTTCTACAGTCTGGCATTACCGAACAGTCAGGTTTGCCTGCTGAAGTAGGTAGGGCTATTGTTAGAGAATTTTCTTTAAATAAATAAAGATTTTTTTGCAGCTTGTGTGAATGAGCTGAGTCATATTTAGTGGTTTATCCAGTTTATGCCTGAGTTCTTTCAGGACTCAGGTAGAGGTCAAAAGAGAAACAGAGTTATGCCGCACTCTTATTTTGTTCAATGTGGCTTTTGTCTAAGAAAAACAATTCTCCACCCTTCTGAGTAGGCACTGAAATTTTAAATTGTTGTCTTTACATCTCTTATTGAACTTTCATGGTATAGTTGTATGAAAGCAGAGCTGAAAGAGCACTTCTTCAAAGAGATGCTACCAAGAGTCCAATGTTGTCTGCAGTTTGCATTAAAGCCAGAGACTTTGTTTCATTTTCACTTACCGTGCAGAATCATACATACTCTCGCCTTTTTTATCATCAAAGCTGAAGAAGAAAATAGGAGGTGAAGATGTGTGGGCAGCTATAGGATGCCCAAAATGCTTGACTGTTCCTGCAGGAGGGCGCAACTTAAGTCCTGCTTAATAACAGTGGAGCAAGTTCCTTGCTGGCGTGACCCGTTCAGCTGAATTCAGCCTCTCTTGTCTTTGTTAGCACTGGGAAAATAATTCAGATTAAGTGGAGTGTGACTTTGAAATAGCGTAGCTAGGCTGGTGCCTATCTCCCAGTGTGTGCGTGGGTACGTGCGTCTCGGGTTGGAAGCAAATGGCTGAGTCCAAGGCGGAGGTGAGGGGGACTGTGCAGCATCTGCAGCGCGGCAGCTTGGCAGGACTGACCTCAGCAGCAGGAACCTCCTCCAGTAATTCATGTTAGCTTTTGGGAGCTTTGCCCCACATTTGGGTCCTCACACAGAGCCGCCTGCAGAGCACCACTCGCCCTCCATCACCAGGTGAGGAAGGAGAGGGTGGCTGATCTCTCCCTCCGATGCTGCAGGCCTGCCTGTGCAGAAAGCAGGCAAGAGTCTTCCTACCTACTCAGTGACAGGCACTAATCACCCTGTACTGCTCGTCTGTCCCTTCAGTACAGGCTATGGGAGCACAGCTTGCTGTGTGTTTCAGTCTGGCCTGCCCCAAAACGTTGGCTATATTATAAGCATCAATCCCCTTTAACACTTTTTTAAAGAAAATAAAAGTGTTTTTATCTAATGTATGGGATGATACTTTTTTCCTCCTACTGAGGAGGACTAGGACTTGAAATCACAAAAATACGTAAACATGCTCCAAGCTTTAAATACCACAGGGGATTTCTTCAGCACTCAAACATGTGTTAATGGATGAGTTTAAGTACGTGCCTAAGCACATAGCTGAATTGGGGCCTAAACCAGCATATTTTCTTTTTATTTTTATGAAATGTCTTTAAATACCCTTGCAAATAACTTGGTGAAACTTGACTTCACTGGAAAAACATTTACTGGAAATTATTTCTTAATTAAAATCTGAAACCATAATTTTTCATCTACAGATGATGTGCAAGATTTTTCCAGCGTGAATTTGATGTGGTACAGAATTTCAGGTATAGAGAAGAGAAGGAGGGGGGAAAGGTGGGCAGTCATCTGG